TAAAGTACAAAAGAAGGATGCGAATGAGCAGGAGGCTCATCTCATGCAGGATGCATAGATCATCACTATGGATAGCGATCTTATTCTTGGGTCATCGAATCAGGAGCCTCGTTCCACGCCACTGCTAATAGGAAACTTTTTCATAACTATATAGCAGGGGACTTTGGGAAAGTATACTTAGGGGATAATGAACCATGTAGTGTTGTTGGAAGAGGAGATGTGCAAATACAGTTGAAGGGCTTCAAGTAGAAGTTGAAGGGTTTCAAGTAGAATCTAAAGAACGTGAGACACGTACCGAAGCTGAAGGGGAATCTTATTTTAGTAGGATAGCTTGGAGTAGAAGGCTATGTTTCTACATTCATCGGGGATTCGTGGAGGATCTCCAACGGTGCTATGATTATTGCCCGAGGCAGCAAAACAGAAACTCTCTACCTCACCTCACACGTGACTGACACACTCGCAATTGTAGCTGGCAAGGAGAGTGCGGATCTATGGCACAATAGATTTAGACACATGAGCGAGAAGGGGATAAAGATTCTACATTCACAGGGAAAGCTAACCGGCATCGATTCTGTGAAAGTCGATATTTGCGAGGACTGTATTTTTGGTAAGCAGAAGAGAGTTAGTTTTCAGAAGGGTGGAAGGCCACCTAAAACTCAGAAGCTAGAGTTAGTTCATACCGATGTATGGGGTCTAACTAGTATGTCTAGCGTACTATGTTACCTTCATCAACGATCACTCGAGGAAGGTGTTGGTATACTTCATGAAGCACAAGTCAGAGGTGTTCGGGATCTTCAAGAAGTGAAAAGCCATGGTGGAGAACGAGACAAATCTAAAGGTGAGATATTTAAGATCAGACAATAGTGAAGAATATGAGCTGGAGGAGTTCAAGAGGTTCTGTGCTCTGAGCAGGATTCGTTTGGAGAGGACTACTCCAGGGATGTTGCAGCAAAACGATGTTGTAGAGAGGATGAACAGGACATTGATGGAGCGCGCCAAGAATATGTGATTACATATAGATCTGCTTAAGATATTTTGGACGGATGCGGTGCATACAGCAGCTTACTTGATTAATTATAGGCCATCAGTTTAATTGGATTACGGGATTCCAGAGAATGTTTGGAGTGGCAAGAAGATCAATCTCTCATATTTGTGAGTATTTGGTGCCACACATGTTCATATCAGTGACCATGTCATGGACAAGCTTGAGGCTAAGTCACAGAAGTACACATTCATTAGATACAACATTGATGACTTCCGGTATCGTCTTTGGGATAAGAAGAACAGAAATATCATCAGAAGCATGGATGTGATATTCAATGAGGAGGTGATGTATAATAACAGGGATAGTGCCAATGATAGACAAAGCAGTGGGAGTAGCACTACAGATACAGGTGGTGTTTGTGGAAAAATTTTGCAGTAAAAGAAACGAAAGAAAATTTGACTTGTATTCCTTTAATCTCCGTTACAATTGGATTTCCTGATTACAAAAGAGAGGAGAATGATCTGGATTCTCCCCTTTGTTTAATTCTGGGTTCTTCATGGTGGCGATGAGATGCCTCCCTCGAATGCTCGTGTCGAGTTTGCTTCTCGTTGACGATCCAAACGTCTTGATTCACTGGAACGTGGTCTTCTCCTCATGATTTGACGTTGTGGAGGACTTGCGTGGTAAGTTTGAAACTCTGACCGAGTTTAGAAGAACTTGCAGAGCAAATTGGAAACTCTGGACGAGTTGATAACTCAGATCGAGTTTAACTCTGAACGAGTTTGAACTCTTGAAAAAGAGTTGATTTGAACCGAAAGTTCGGTTAATCAGCCAAGGGAATGCTCCAAGGACTTTGTTGCTGCAGAAAGCTCCAAGATGCCCGATCAAGGATCCCCCAAAAGTCAGCCAAAAAGAGGATCCAAACTCAGTTAAGTTTCCCACTATTTATAGGGGATTTAAGGGTGTAACCGCCCCCTTAAATCTCTCCTTAATGAGGGTTTAATAGGGTATAACTGCCCCCATAAATCTCTCCATGATAGGGTAGTGATCCCCTCAAATCGTGGGGAGAAAACGGTTCTGGAACCGTTCAAATCGTGCTTAAACGAGTCAAACACTGAAAACAGCGTTCTGGGCCCGAACTCTGCGTTTTAGACCTGAAACGCAAAGTTGGGCCTGTTTTAGGCTGAAAACGCACAAGTCGCGATGCGCAGAGATGAACTCTGCGTTTTGGACCTGGGACGCAGAGTTGGGTTCTGCATGAACTGTGCGTTTTGAACCTGGGAAGCAGAGTTGGGCTCTGCATGAACTGTGCATCTTGGACCTGAGACGCAGAGTTGGGCTCTGCATGAACTGTGCGTTTTTGTCATTGGACGCAGAGTTGAACTCTGCGTTTCAAGTCCACGAAATCTGCGTTTTGAGTTTGGAACGCAGCCACGACCTCTGCGTTTTGAATCTCAAATATGGTCACGACCTCTGCGTTTTGAGTTTAGAACGCGGGCATGACCTCTGCGTTTTGAGTTTGGGACGCGGGCATGACCTCTGCGTTTTGAATCTCAAATGTGGTCACGACCTCTGCGTTTTGAGTTTAGAACGCGGGCATGAACTCTGCGTTTTGAGTTAGGGACTCAGGCATGACCTCTGCGTTTTGAATCTTGGATGCAGAGCTGAGCCTCTGACGGGCTTGGTGAACTTCAGCCTAAGTCCAATGTTCAGACGAAGTCCAGTCTTGCAGACGGACTTCAGAACATAACTTGTTGCGAAGAACAGATCATAACTTTCAAACCGTAAGTCGGAATTGGACGAATTATATATAAAAATCGGCTATCTCGATGAGACGCCGTAAGTCGGAATTGGACGAATTATATATAAAAATCGGCTATCTCGATGAGACGGAGCCGACCAAACCGACCCCATAAGGTTCGGTTTGCTCTGTCGGTTTTGCCAAATTCCTTACGGTTTGAGAGATATCTGTGTTTTAATATGAAGAGACTTTTGCCAAATTCCTTACGGTTTGAGAGATATCTGTGTTTTAATATGAAGAGACCGTCAATTTGTAGTCGCTTTTGCTAGAGCGTTGCAAAGATCGTCACCTTGTAACCTTCGTCTTGGCTCCTTAAAAATATGAGAGTCATCAGATTGTAACTCCCGATGTTGATTGTGAAGGCTGTTGAATTAGAGCTTTCATTAGTTGTTGTGAAGGTCGTCAGATTGTAACCTTCTTCGATCTACGTGAAAGTCTTCAAATTATAACCTTCTGGAAGTCGTCAGATTATAACTTCCATCATCGGTGTTTGATGGGGATTGGCTATCTGTTGTGATTTTTAGACAGTCTACAGGTGGATCCGAGTATATGGATTTGGAGGAACTTTCAGATGAGGGCGACAAAGCCAATTCTGACCGAAGAACAGAGGAGGCTCCAGATAGTGGAGAACCGAGTGCTATGAGGAGGCTATGCAAGTGAGTGAATCTTAACAGTGGGAGCAAGTGATGCAAGAGGAGATGGATTCTTTACACAGTAATAAGACATGGGAGTTAGTTCAGCTATCTGCATAGAAGAAAGCATTGCATAACAAATGAGTCTATCGGGTCAAGAAGGAGAGTGATGGAAGTAAGAAATACAATGTCAGTCTAGTCGTGAAGGGGTTCCAATAGCGGGGAGGAATGGACTATACAGAGATATTTTTCCCCGTTGTGAAGCTCACAACCATCAGAGTGGTGTTGACCTTAGTAGCTGCAGAAGATCTCTACCTTGAGCAGTTAGATATGAAGACTGTATTTCTTCATGGTGACTTGGATGAAGAAATCTATATGAAGGAACTTGTTGGCTTCATTGAAGTGGCTCCCGGGGATGTAGGCACGATTGCCGAACATCGTTAAATCTGGTGTGTTCTTTCTTGTTTATTTTCTTGCAAGGTTTTTATCTTTTATTTGCTGTAATTTTTTCTACTTTCCTACTCTTAAACACAATGTTTGGAAGGGCAATGGTTCGATTTGATTGTTTCGAATCCCCAACATAAAATGCAGAATACTTCATGCAACACTGCATTTTTAAATGCACCTCCAATGGATCGTTGAGTATTAAAACCTAAACATCGTTGGTACCATCTTCAAGCCTCATAAAATTTATCAAAACTTTAAAGTCATGATGAAAATTAATTTATAATTTTACACTCTAAAAAATATATAGGTTAAAACTTTTTTTTTGGTGAGGAGAGGTAATATTTAATTTAATCTGTTTTTTATAATGCACATCCGTTGAGTCTAGATTGCGTTGCAAGAAGTCCCTTCCACTACATCAAAAACTTTCGCTCACAAGTTATGAGAAGAAAACAAAGTCATAACTATAAGCTAACAAAGCCAAAAAAATTAAATTTGAAATTTATCTGACGTAAAGAATGAGATTGGTGGGAAATGGCACTGGCTATAGAGATTAATTAGTCCTCCCATAGTATTATCTTACACTTCCAATTAATTAATCCACAATGATTAATATATAAAGTTCAGAATTGCTATGTTAATGAAGAAGTCTATAGAGAAGAGAAGAGAAGAATAATAATGGGTTTCTCCCTCTTGCTAAATGTCTTTCTCTTCTCTATAATTTCAAGTGTTCAACCATCTGATGCTTGGGGAAAGGATGGACATTTCATTGTGTGCAAGATA